GTTTTTCTTTCTGCGTTTTCCTGTTTGATCACAGGGGGGAAATGTGATTTTAAGAATATTTTAACCTTATGGCAAAAGAAAACAATTAGTAAGCACTGTCTCAAAAGGAGAGGGGAGAAAAAGATTCCCATTAGCAAAGCAATAGAGAACAGCAAACCTTAAGGTGGGTGGCTGTGCTCTCTACCTGCTGAGAACTGGGGTCTCAGCTGTTCATTAACAAGTTAAAAGGAAAGTGGCTGAAACTCAGATTGGGGAAGAGACCAGCATCCAGGCGCCTCCAGCAGTCTCTTTCTCTTTGTTTTTAAATGCTACTGCAGTGTTGTTCCTCGCTGTCTGAAAGTTACCACAGCGTCTAAAACACTGATTGTCATCCTCAGTGGGAGAACAGGTTTCCAATTTCATCAGCTGGAACGAAGTTGTGTGTGTACACTCAGTTTAAAACACGGCTTTTCCAGGGCAGCGCTTTTTCTGGGTAGACAATATGCCCACGATTTTGCTTCTTTTCGGTCTTGGCTGGCTCACCCATCTCTTTCGAGAATCTTCCAGGTGGAGTTATTGGATTCAGTCAGATTGGGGGAGGGGTCACGAGACCTTGAGGGGGATCAAAAGTCCCCACCTAAGGTAACAGAGCACACCTGCAGGCTAAGGGACTGAGCCCGCGGGTACCAAGGTGCGAATTGCCCCGTCCGGGGCGAAGTGGGCACCGACACAGGTTCTACTGGCTTCGGGAGGTTGGAGGAGGTGTCCTGGGAGGATTTTTAGGCTTCTGCTCCTGGGAAAAGCTCAGAAAAAGGAGAAACGTGAACTAATAGCACATTTTCCCACCTTAACTCTGCCTCACCTTTCCCCGTCAATGCCACCAACCCCCACTCCAAAGAAGGGCGTAATGTGCGCCGCGACTGTGGGGTCCGAAGCGCGTTGCCCGCATCGGCTAGTGTTTTCCTGCTGGTGTCCCTGGGCCATGCGTGGAAAAGAGGCCAATGCTTTCTCCAGGGTCACGGACCTGGGAGAAAAAGTTCGACCATGCCCCGACAAGGAAGCGGAGCTGCCGCCTCGTCCTACCCGTGACTCCAGAAATCAGTGCAGCTCTCCTTGGCCACTGACGTTCTGGCAACAAGCCCGGGAAGGGGCGCCCTCTCTGGCTGGCACCCCTCCGCCGAGGGGCGCGGGTGAAGAGCCCAGGTCCGAAAGTCAAGGCCGAGGCTGCAGGAAGCAGAGGAGACCGGCCTTATCTGAAGCAGGAAGGGAAGCGGGGAACGTGTGGTAGGGCCTAGGGCGCCTCGGGACCAGGCTCAGAGGTCTGAGCCCCCTGCCCTGGGCGCAAAGCGCGGGGTCTGAGAACCAGAGAGTTCCCACACCTGTGGGCGGCCGGCCGGAGGGCAGCCGGCGGCCAGGAAGGCTTTATCCCACCGCCGCAGGGCCTGGGCCAACTCCGCAGTCGTGCGTCCCGCGCCGCTCACGTGCCTTGCCAGGACCTTAGCTCCAGGACTGCGAGAGGGAACCCGGACTTGGGCCTGGGAGGTGGCTCCAGGGTGCCCAAGAGGACGGCACCTGCGTTGTCCCGCAAACTTCACACCCGGCCTCCTCCACTGTCTGGCCCTTCAAGGCCAGCCTCGCAGCCTCTGCCCTCAAGGGCTCTCAGCGGGTCGGGCCCCAGGACCGGCGCCTGGAGCTGCGCTGTGATACCGGGAGCAGGGAACAGCGGCTCCCCATTCCCCGCGCCCCGGGAGGGCAGAATAGCAACTGCCACCGCCGGGATGTGCTGGTAGCAGGAGAAGTTCCCCCGGTTTTCTGCAGCCGGAGACCCGCGAAACGTATGGGAAGCCTCTGGATCCCCAACCTGGAGTTCTGGCCGCACTTGGCCAGATGGTGGGAATGAAGCCCCTTTAGCCACAGGCGCCGGAGCAGAGGAAGTGCTGCTCCGCGCGGGTTCAGTGCCAGGTGCCCGCAGGCCCTCGGTGTCCGTGGGAGATTGGTGTAACAAGGGTTACTGCTCAGCAAATTCAGAGTTCGTTCATAAGTGCCAGAGCCACTGCCTCTTCCTGGAAGCTTCCACTTCGGCTCGGAGTTAAGACCAAGCTGTTCTTGACTGAAGAAGAAGTTCAAGGCCGGTGGTGCCCAGCCCCAGTGGCGCCTGTCTCCTTGCCTGCAGCTCGTGGGGCTTTGGGGGCTCGAGTCCCTACTTGCTAAGCCCAAAACTGGGAAATCGCCGACCAAGCCCCTAGCCTTCGTCTATTTAGGAAGCTTCGTTCTCAACCAGAGGTCAAGGCGAGCAGGCATACGGACCCGAACAATCCTGTGTTCAGATTAAAAACGTCAAAAAATAAATTGACCTAGTTTTGTTTTGTTTTTCATTTTACTTGGCAAAATGCTGTAAGGTTTCGTCCTTAAAACACTTTAAAAAAAAATAAGCCGTTGTTCATTACTTTTGGCTATCGTTATAAAATCTGTGGAGGAGAAAGCAAAAGTGGCTTTGATTCAGTTAAACTGTGACGCCGAGAAGGTAAATTGGAGGTCCTTTAACAGCTGGTCCTCGAAGTTTTCCTCCAGGAAAAAAAAATATATGGTTAGTTCCCCCTAATGATCGCTCTAAAATGATTGCCAAGAAAATTCAAAGCAACATCCAGCTTTCTCGCCTCCTCCTGCTTCTCCTTGGTTTAGCCAGACTGAGCCGAGGGTGGCAGAGGGGGCGTATTGTGCAATTTCTTATTAAACACATCTGGAATATGCGCGCTCTGGATCAAGTGCCAGGGATTTTTACAAAGAGTTTATGACTGTGACAGAAAATTGTCCTTTTAACGAGTTTACAAGCAGTAATCACAGGGGCTTTTACAGGATCAGCCCGCTCTGCTCCTCGCCAGATCTGCAGACACTTCCAAGATTCACCAACCGAGGGAGCAGGAAGTGGGCTCCGGTGCCCAGGGAGACAGAACTTCCACGAGCCTAAAATTATACCAAGCAGAGCTGGGAGAGTGGGGGTAGTCATAGGAGTAGGAAGAGAGGGCATGTAAAAAATTAAAGTAATTGGCCCTTCCTTATTTTCCAGGGAGATTTCCGCGGTATCTTTTGAAGCCTGTCAGGGTCATTGAAAGCTATCTTTGTGCAGGGTGTTTGTTTTGGGGAGTGAATGTGAAGAATGTGCGGAGATCCCCTGTGAGAGCCCCTCCTGCAGAGGGTGGCATTTCTCCGTGGCCCAAGACGTGGAGAATAAACACCCTGGTGACTTAAATAAACACCAACTTAATGATCCAAAACACTAACAAGGGAGATTGGGACCCTGAGCTCCCAATCCAAATGATCATCTCTGAGCGGCTGTGTGCACATCTGTCCATCACTGAGGGGAAAAATGACTTTATAAGTAAAAGTGACTACAGTTAAGTACAGTGACCCTTTCTCCCTTGAGCTCCGTCAAATCCAGTTGACATTTAAAAAAAAAAAAAAAAAACCCACATAACAAGGTCTTAATCCTCACCCCACCTCAGTTTCCTAGATCAGCACAGGAAAGATGAAAGAGTAAGGAAAAAGAAATGATTATATAAATGGTGACACTTACGGATGAGGAAAAATCAAAATTATGCAACTGTCATGTCAGAAAATAAATAGACTCTCTGGGGAACAATATTTTACAAAGCACAAGCAAGCCAATCCTGTTATCCTGAGTAGAATTTTAATAAATAATGCCATTTGTTTCACTAATTTTAAAAGCTAAATACAAAGATACATCATTTTTGCCCCAGGCAAAAATAATATGGAGCCTACATGATTACTGTGATTTTTCTGAACACTATCTGGCAGCACTGCAAAGAGCTCCTTGTCCTGCTGATCTGCTTTCTATTTGTACAGGTTAATTCACAAAGTTCCTATCCTTGTTTGCGTTCCCCCTCCTTTTTCCCCCCAAGCAGATAAATTATTTTACTTTCACAGTCTGGTCATAAATTTGTTCATACAAAAGAGTTGAGTTAACATTTGAATGATGTAGAGAAGAGCTAGTGGTAAACAAAATTGCATATCTAAATAATAAAAATAAATTAATACCTCAAAGCTAAATTCACTATTTTTCTGTCATATAATTAACTCAGTTACCACTCTTGGTTCCGATGATGGCCTTCGAAGTACCCTGCAGTTCATAACCACCATTAAGTAGGAAATCAACAAAACTATCTGTTTAAAAAAAAAAAAAATAGGGCCCAATGACAGCAATACACAACTCACCTTTGAGAAACAGAATCATCGTACTCCTGGTGTTCTACTAAGTTTTAATTTAGACAGGTTTAGGTACATAGAAAAGAAACCTGAAAACACATGCTGTTTTAGTAACAAATACCAGGTTGCCAGATTTGTCCCATATTTGTTGCAAGCTAGAAACTAGGAACAGGAGAAACCTTGACAGGGGCAGAACACAGATATGGAAGCTTTGAGGGCATGAGAAGAAATGGCATTCAGGAAAGTGTTTTTTCACATTGGTACATTTTTAAAGATTGCCATAAAAAAACCCAAGAAAACAAAGAACCAAAAAACCCCACTAAATTTGACAAAAATAGTTGTATTACTAATGGTCACTTCTATCTCTAACTCACATAGAGAGCATTAAGACATTTAGGCACTTGTTTTTCCCCCTAATACTGTTATTTCACCTTAAGCTACATAAAATTGTTTAACACTAAATATGAAAAATGTAAACTTAATTTTCCCCATCAAAAACAGTTATAAAATCATATTTTTTCTTTTCACCTTAAGAATGCAACCATTTCCTCCCAGGCCAGAGGCTCTTATTTTCACTATTTTGACTTCTTTCTCTCTCTTTTTCATTTCCTCTTCCCAAAATTTTTTTCCATAAATTAAAAGGAAATAAAATCCAGTTGATTTGTAATTACCATTCATTGGAAAAAAAAAAAAGAAAGACTACTGAAGAAGGCAGATGGGTTGCACAGAACCAAGACTGGGTGACTAGGTGCTTTTGTTTGTTTGGGTTTTTTGTTTGTTTTTGTTGTTTTTTTTTTCCTGATATCTGTACTGGGAGGGGAAATGCAAAAGTGGAAAGAGTCGGAGAAAAGAAGATGACTAAGTTTGAGATTGCTGTTGGTTTTGAGTTTTAAAAAGATATTTGTGAAAGTCCACCATTCCTTTATGCACAAAGAACCCCAGAAACAAGCTGCAAAAATGTTCCTGATTTCTATTTACAAGTGTCCCTAGTTGCTGCTTCAAGGCCCCAGTCCCTCCCCACTTAGGACCCCAAGTCCACCAGACTGGAGGTGAGAGGGCCCAGCAAGGAGTCCTGGAGCTGATGCTGGTGGGCTTGCAGGCCATGGCTGGGCTGAGAGGCCGTTAAGCCCGGGAGAGTATAGTTTGAGCTCCTGGCGTGGCCCATATTGCCCTGCAGCAGAAGGACCGAGTTCTGGTCTGGACTTTGGGGAGGTGAGAATTCTTCTTCTGAGCTGGACATGAGCGGCTTGCCCCCTTCCAGAGGAGAGAGTTGATTCTGCTTGTTGGAGGAGGAGTTATTGTTTTCGGTGTTCTCCCTAAGAAATAGAGGACAACACCATATGGTTAAAAAAAAAAAAAAAAAAGTAGGTTAAAAAAAGTGTGAGATGGAGGAAGGGGAGCTGGAAGGAGGAAAGGGCCATTGTGCAATCAGTCATAGACCCAAATGGGGAAGCTCTGCTCTCCCACCAATCCCCAAGGGTCCTGGGGAAAGTTGAGACTGAGGAGACTGGAGAAATGGGGAGCCAGTCCCATTTTCTTTCAGATTTTAGAAAGCCAGAGCAGCAGAGCTTATTTGAAATACACAATTATTTTAAAAATTACTTCAAACAGTTATTTTTAAATACCTGTCAACTAGCACCATGTTTAAAAGTTTGAAACTCTTCCAACAAATGGTTGTTGGTGAAGAAAATGATCAAAGGACAAACAGTGCCCAAAGCACACATGTTTGGGGTGAATCAAGTCAACTGTCCTGTTCCCATCTGAGGAAACAATTAAACGTCGGTTTCCCGGCCCCTGCCCGAAGCTTGTGCTTTCAGAGACACAGGATAGGTCATGGGAAGTGGTGTCCAGAGCGGCCCAGTGACCTGAGTAAACACAGGGAGCGCAGCCAGTCTCTCCAATTTCATCAGGTAGTGGGCCCTCGGGCCTGGCTTGTAGGGCCGCCGTTCTGTAACTAAAATCTAACTGGAACTGTACTATCCCTGTCCCCGTGTTACTCACTCAATCCTTAGTTCTTCACGCCGCCCTCTCAAACACCCCACGGACATCCACACCAGCGCACCCCTTCCCACAGGGGAAACTTCTTGACCCCGCACAGCCGATGAGCCGGTGAGGGGTGCTGGGGCGGTAGTCCCCGCGCTGGGTGCGGGTAAACTTCAAGATTTGGAAGCCCTTCGCGCTTCTGTCTTCTGAGTGCTCGCCTGTCCTGCCCACCCGGAGAGCCTGCCTGTCTCCCCCTTCTCTCTCCTTCTCTTCCAGTCTCTCTCTCCCAAAAAGTCCATTTCAGCTGAATGTATCCAAGTTCCCTGCCTTTCCACCCAGAGTGGAAAGCAGAGGCGACATCTTCGGCCCCAGACTCGTAAGCAAACAAAGGAAATCCAGCTGGCCCGGCGCTCAGGTTTCCCCCAGACTCGTCGGCTTTCTGGAGCACTCTCCCTGGGGTCGCCACCGCCGCAGCCGCCCGCACGCTCTTCCGAATCTCGGTCGGAAACTACTGTGAGCGGATGGACCGGGGCCAGGTGGCCGGGGGTGTTGGCGCGAGAAGTGTGGAGGCAAGGACAGGTTGTTAAAATATTGCCTTCTAAGCTCCAAGGCAAGAGAAGCCTGAGACTGGAATCTGGGGCGGCTGCTCGGACAGCCAGACCGACGAGCCGCGGCTCCCGGCCGCACGCAAGGGAGCCCAGAGAGGATCAGTCCTTTCTGGGCTTGGGGCGCCGGGGAGTAAATGCAGTACCACCTCTCCCAAAGCTCTTTTCGTGGATTTTTTAAAAGACTCCTCCTTTAGTAAGGCTAATGTGGAATGAAACGGCGACCTCTCGCCCAAAAGACTAGCGTGAGAGCTCAAATAAAGCACCGGACAGCAGTGGGGGCAGAGCAGAAGTCTCAGGCCAGTTCCACCCCTCCCGGGAGGAAGAGGAGAAAGGTTCACGACTCTCAACCCCCACCGAACCCCTTTCCTAGCGTTACCAATCAACACTTCCCTTCTAGTTGATCTGGAAACTCACTCTCCACCCCCCACCCCTCGCCCCAACCAGCCAGGGAGGCATGAAAAACTTAGCGCCAATATTTCTTGACACTCACACCCCAAGAAGCCCACGCGCGGGCGCTCAAATCAAACGAGTCCCCATCCCTAGCAAGCGATCTCAGAGTTCATGAACTTTCGCTGCAGTGCTGCGGCGGCCCGGGCGCCGCCCGGCGGACCGGTTCCAGCAGGCGGGGAAGACGCGGTGGCTAGTGCCTGCGGGGGCGGAAAGGGGCGGAGGGGAACGGAAGGTATCCCGGGGTCGCCCCAGCAGCGGGAAGAGCGCCGCGTACCTTTCCTTGGCCTCGGCGGCCCGGTCTCTTTGCCTCCGGTTCTTAAACCAATTGCTGACCTGGGTGGTGGTGAGGCCGGTGGCCTCGGCCAGCTCCCGCTTCTCACGCGGCGAGGGGTAGGGGTTATGCGCGTACCACTCCCGCAGTACGCCCCGCGACTTCTCCTTGAAGCAGTAGCTGGTCTCCTCGCCGTCCCAGATCGTGCGCGGCAGCGGGAATTTTCGGCGCACCCGATATTTACCCACGGCACCCAGGGGCCGGCCGCGCAGCTTCTCGGCTTCCACGTAGTGCGCCTTCAACCACAGTTGCTGCAGCTTGGGATGGTTGTGAGGCGAGAACTGGTGGCTTTCCAGGATCTTGTAGAGCTCGCGGAAGTTCCCGCGGTGGAAGGCGACCACGGCCTTGGCCTTGAGTACACTCTCGTTCTTGTGCAGGTGGTCGCAGGCGGGCAGAGACCACAGGAACCTGCCCAGGCGCTCCAGGTTCCCACCTTGCTGCAGAACCTCGCACACGCACGCCACTTGCTCCTGCGTAAAGCCGAACGACGGCAACATCGACATGGCTGGAGCCTGCCGGAGCGCAGTGCCCGGGCGCACGCGGCAGGGAGCAGAGCCGAAAGTGCAGGGGGCGGCGGCCGCAGGGAGGGGGGCGCGGCTGCTCCTAACCCCCTTCCTAGGCTTTCCCTAGCCTAAATAGCAAGTCGAGAATTGGGGGTGGGCGGCCCAGAAAGAGCAGGACGAGGAATGGGGCGCGCGCAGGACACGAAGAGGCCGGCTCACTCCACAGCCTTTCGGGCCCCGCTGGCTCCAGCCTTCCGCCGGGTGGATGCTGCTCGTTGCCGGGGAACTTGGTTTCTGTTCTCCGGGCAGCTGCCTTAAAGCGCGCAGCGTCCCCGGCGCGCTGATTGGCTGCGGGCGGCGCCTATCCGGGGCTGGCCAGCCCGCGCGCCGCCGGGCCAGGCCTGAAGGCCGCACCGCCCCGCGCGGGGAGGGCGAGGCTGTGGAGTGGGGGATTGGGAGTGGTGAGAGGAGCAGGACCCAGAGAGGTGGGAAACGAGGTGGAGGGAGGAGGGGTGAGGAAGGACCCGCGCAGCCCGGGAGCGGGAAGGGGGTGGGGTGAGTGATCGCGTCAGGATCCTGCAACGTGAGCCCCCTCTCCAGTGTCACCTAAGGGCAGCCGCGCACATCTCTGCGCAAATCAATGACTCCAGACCTTCTAATTCCCCTCCGTACCCCTGTCCCTGTCCCTTGCAGACATGCCCTTTCCCGGTGAGCTCATATTTAATTACCTTAATGTTGGAATGAATAAATAATGGATTGATGAATAGCTTATGGAACAAGATAAATAATACAAGAGCAGACTAGAGCTCTGGGCTGCAGCCGCTGAAGAGTGGCTTCTCTCAGGGCTGGCTTCAGCTCCAGGAGCCAAACCTAATTTCCTCTTCTCTTCTCGGCCCCCACCCTCACCCCCACCCCCACCACCCTCCAAAGGGCACGCGTACTCTCAGCTGGATAGCGCTTCCCCCATTGTCAGAAGCCCGAGACCATTTGAGAGCGCGGAAAGAGCTGTTTAAAGCATAGTTGTAGAGCATGGAAAGATTCCGAGGGTTTATTTGTGATTTGGCATCTTAATGTTTTATGGTTTAAGCCTGCAGGCTTTTGAACTCAGTTTCCCCATCTACGCGATTGCGTTTTCCAGGGCCACCCACCTCTGCTACCGCGGAATGCCCAGAAGCTTTACTTGCTGTTAGCAAAAATGCTTTGGGAACCTCGTATGAAAGGCGCTGGATGGGGTGTAAATTAAATAAAACTGGTCCGGCTCCAATAGGCGTCCGTTTGTAACATAATCCTTGCCCTGCTCTGAGAGGGACACTTTCCTCAAAGAGAGGACAAGAGCAGCTCCAAGAAGAGTAAATAAAGAGGGGTGTGTGTGTGTGTGTGTATGTGTGTGTGTGTGTGTGTGTGTGTGAGAGAGAGAGAGAGAGAGAGAGAGAGAGAGTGTGTAGATTGCGATGCTGGCCTATTTTACTGCCAGGGAATGAGAGATGTCCTGCAATTTCAGTCCCATCATCTGTTATTTTGTGTATGTGTGGAGAATGCTTAGTAAAACTGCACAAACAAATGAAGCTGTAATTATCTTAAGCCTCATTTGCACACCTTGTTCCAAAGCAATTACTAAAAAGATTTTGAAAACAATTAGCGTCTCTAAACAAAGATAATCTATTGTCAGTAGCTGAGACTGGCAGAAGATAAGAACAATGCTGTGGAGATAAGGGGAGCCAAATGGTGGAAGGAGAGTGACTTTATGACTATACTTATCTCTGATTAGATAAGTTCAAAACAGAATTGTCAGTACACTTCAAAAATGCTTTTGATTTAAATGCACCCTCTTAGTGAATGCAAAGAAGGACTCTAGGCTCTTTAAACTTGTTTGTCTTCTTTAAATGTTTTTATTCCACCAGCCAAAGCCCAACTCCAAGTGGGAGACAGAGAAGCACTGTGTGGGTTTCCCCTTGTATTATTTATATGGTTTTGAAATAATGCACCCAGTCCAGGGTACCCTGTAATGTACATTTTAAACTCATGAAGGGTTTCTACCTCCTGGCTACCTCTCCAGAGATTCCAAGTAGAGAGAAGCTACTTCTCTGCTGAACTCCCCACACAATGCTTTTTACATCCTTGAAACTCTGCAGTATCCCATGCAATTAGACCTTGGAAACAGATGCTGATATTTCATTACATTTAGAATTATTCTTTAAGTGCATTTAATGGGTGCATATTATTTCAAACGAGCCCCTATCACATAGTGTGCCCAATGACTTACTTTCTAAACTGGAAGCCTGGCATGGCTGAACCCAAGCCCATGTGTCTGGTAAGTTTCCCTCGTGGTCTTATTTTAGTACTCATGATGTTTCAGATGAAGTCTTAAGAAGCTGCAGTGTCCTGCCAGAAGGAATGTCTCTGCTTGGAACAGTCCTTATTGACATGGCAGCTGTGTGAGGACCGGAACGGAGGTTTAAACTCGACTCTAAAACTCAGTTAATACCCTAAAGTCTGGAGCAAGTGCGCAGAATTACAATGTGTAGGGGGGTGGGGGTCTCTTAAAAGACAAAAGGTAAGTTGAGTATGGGGTGTACTTTATAACTAACAATTTTATATAAGGAAATTAGGCATAGCTTGGATAAATAAGGGCAGGTATAAATTTACAGGGGATGACAGGGAGCAGAGAGATGGCAATTAGACACCAATATGACCCCCCCCCCCTTCCTCCAGACCTCCCTGCCCACTTCTTTTCATCTCTCTTCGGAAGGAGGCAGGTCGTTCTAGACTTTGGCGACAACTGGGAAGACCACTATGTGGATGTCGTGATTGCGGGGGACACTAGGGTTGATGAGAAGAGGTGCTCAATCTCAGAGGCTACGCGGGGGCCCGCCAGCCTTTCTCCTTGCGTTTAATCCAATAGATCTTGTAACTAGAAAGGAAAAGTGCTATTCGCTTTGTACTAACGAGCCTACCTGCTATTTCGATCCCTTGGTTAGGGGAACCAATTGTTATAAATGTTAATTATTGGCTCGGATATATAAGGTTTCCCAAAATGGAACCTTTCACTGAAAACCACTAAAAGAGGTAAAATGACATGAATTTACAAACCACATAAACCAAATGATCCATTTTAAATCGCACACAGAAAGGTTTGAGTTGTTCTAGTAACTTAAAACCTTTGCTGTCAATGCAAATCACACGAAAAACAGAGATGCTTCGGAGATTTAAAGGGAACGAGCAACTCTAGCTGCTGCTCTCGCGGCATCGCGGCTCCCAAGGGTAACTCTCTGGCGAGGGGTACCCGACACCAGGTTTCAGCTCTTAGATGCCTCCTCTGTGCAGGTAACGGCCGGATGCGCGCAACTGGTCTACGGAAAGGCCAAAGCTGAGGCACTATTTGCAGCTGGAGTTTCTGCCTGAGGTGACGTGAGGCCTTGGTTCAAAACCTCCGGCTGGGACTCACTTGTTTCCCTTCTGGCTTGGAGCGAAATGCTTTGGGGCTCCCTGCCCACTTTCTTGGAATTCCTTCGCGGTCCAGAACAGCGGGGATACTACTCTAACTACAGATATTTGGAAGGGAAGGACAAAGGGAGGAGTTTCTTCAACAAATTAGCGTAGTCGCTCTGGGGCAGTGCGGAGACTCCCCAAATCCTGGATGAAGTGACAACATTCATCTTTTTCCTCGGCCTTTTCAGAAACTCCGGGTGCACGCTGCTCTTGGGACTTCAGGCTCTGACGACCGACGCGGCGCCGGAGCAGCCGCCCACCTGCCTCCTGGGGGACGCTGCTCCCCGCAAAGTCTGAATAGGCCGAGAGCTCAGGCAGGACAATTTGCGGACCCGGGGAAGAGAAACCCAAAACCAGTCCATTAGTAAATGAGTTTTGTGTTGTCAAGGTTCTTTCCCATCCACTTGCTGTTCTGAAAAATAGATCACGTTTCGTTATCTTTAGTGGGAATCTGCAACGTGACACCGGATCCGCACGGTCCCCGCCTCTCTCCCTCCCTCTCTTCCAGTGGTGCTAGGCCGGGCCGCGGGGAGCCGGCCGGCCTCCTCGGCTTATTTCTGAACAATGAAGATTTGTCTGTTACCCTGATATACTTATGTATGGAGGGAGGGAGGAAGGGAGTTTTCTCCTGGAAGCGGGAAGCGCGCGAGCAGAGCCTCCTGCTTCCTTGGTGCGAAAACTCAACGACAACCCAAAAAGCGGGGACCGCTGCCGCCAGCCCACACCTGGACAAACAGAGCTGCGAGCCCCGCTTGCTGCTAAAAACCCTGCTGCCCAGTGCGGCTCCTGAAAATAGTCTCCACATTGTCCCGGGGTCCCGGGAAAAGAGAGAGAGAAAGACAAGCTGAGAGACACCGCCGCGAGAGAATTCAGATTACAGGGGAACAGAGTTGTGCTGTGTGCATTTGGCGTAGTTATCCCGTCCCTCAGTGTGGGTACCCACGTCTGGTCTCGGGCTCGCGCTCTTTCTCTCTCTCTCTTTCCAATCTCAAGGAGGAAGGTTGTTCATTCTTTTATTCTCTTTCCATGTCACTTCTCTCCCTCCTTCTGTCCCATTCCTCTCATTGTTCCCCCCCTCTCTAACACACACACACACACACACACACGCACACACTCCCTCTCCTTTCTCTGTATCTCTTTATTTCTCTCTCTTCTGCTCAGCTCTGGACGCCTGCTCCTGTTTCTTTCTGCCAGGGACCAGGCACTGTGAGGTTTCACAGACATCGTGCTGATGTCGTGCACCAAGGTGACTTTGAAGTCTGGGCAGTGGTGTCGGCCCAGTTGATGGGACCACGCCACACTGAGTGGTGGCGTCCTTAAAAGGTGGGGACGCCTGGGGCGTAGAGCAGAAGAAAATGGGTTGGCCACCTGGGGGGGCGAAAGGGCCCACTGCAGCTGTGCTCTGAGGAGGCTCAGGCCCAGGGACTCAACAACAGCCAGATTTGAACCAGAAGATGCCACTCAACATTGGATGCCAAACACCAAACACCTTTTCTGGAAAGTGAAGGAGTGTTATAAGAATCCATTTTTAAAAAATTTAAGACACTCTTGTCCCCTTCTCTTTAGTGTTGCCTTAGGGCAAGTTTATAAAAAGATACTCTTATCTTTCATTGAGTTTCCAATCAGCTTTTTTCTCAACTAATGTACATCCTGAATACCGCATCTGTCTAAGCTAAGAAGAATTTCCTTTTGGGAGGTGAAAGCCCGCAGCTCCTCCTGTTCAGAGGAAAGTGCTAGTGACAGTAATGCAGGGTGACACTAAATAAACAGTTAGGGTGGACTGAAAAGATGGAGTTAATT